CGGAGGGAAGGCAGGGCGGACAGGTAGCTGGACAGGATAGTGTGGGCACATGGCAGGTCTTCTCTGGGAAGTAGGAAGCCACGGGCTGGGCCTGCAGATGCGGGGCTGGAGGGAGGAGGTGTCTGGGAGCACAGGAGCGTGAATGGACCAGGGAGGCATACTGTGCTCCTTAGGCCCTCCTGAGTCACGGGTCACAAATTTAAACTGAGCCCAGTGGGTGAGGTGGTAAGTCAGGTGCTGGTGGAGGCAGCAGAGGGTGGAGGGCAGGGCAGGGAGGTGAGGGTGCAGGGGAAGGATCAGTGAGATGGACCACTGGGACCTTGCTGGGTGAGGAGGAAGCCAGGCCGGGAGGGGAGTGAGGACCTGAGGGCAGTGAAAGGATTAGGGGGTCTTGCCTGGGCAGAGCTGTGGGAGTCGGCGCTACGGGGAGCGAGCTGGACGGACAGGAGGTGGAGGTGGTGGCCAGACAGGGTTGCACCCGGAAGTGCCCCGGGAGCCGTGTGGTTCCTGCAAGGTCTAGGGGACCATGGAAGTGAGGGGCCGGGGAAGGGTAGAGGCCCTGACCGTCAGAGGAAGAGGTCAAAGAATAGAGGGAGCAGGGGCAGGAAGGACTGTTGTGCACATAGTGAAGTCAGCAAGCGTTATGGCAGGAAGGACAGGAGCTGAATTCACCAGGGGTGAGGGGGAGGAGCTGGGCTGGCCATGCCCACCACAAGGGGGGAGAAGGCTGTGGTCTGTGGATCAAGCACAAGAATGTACACACAGGGACACACGGTAGGTGCTTGGTAACTGGGAACTGCTTCCATTAGTAGTATTTCAGTGCCCCGAATGTGGAACCTGGGATCATAGGACAGAACTTAAAATCAGGATGTGCCAGAACATCTGTGGTACGGGATTTGCGTGCATCTGTTTCTAGAAGGTGTGGTGACTGCAGGGCCTGCCTGTTGTCCTCTTTCTGCAGGACCCAGACACCCTCAAGTTTGTCCCCGGTCTGCAGAGTGGTCCCACCAGGCTTGTCAAGAGCAGCAGGGGTGGACAGATAAATGGGCAGATGGGAACTCAGGCTGAGCCCTGGAGCCAAGGGTGAGACCGAGGACACAGGCCTGGCCCCCTTCCCAGGGTCAGGGGCAGCCCCTGGCTGTCGGCTGTGATGTGTGGTGCATTTCCCCAGCCGGAGGCCCAGGCCCGTCATGCCCACCCCGGGGGACAGAGCGGGAAAGGTGCTGAGCAGGGTCAGTCGGTGTGTTGGGGGGACGCCCCCCGGGGTGAAGGCTCCGAGGGCAGCCCCTGCATTGTGATGCTGGGAGCCTCATGCTCTGTGGCTCAGAGCAGCTGGGGATGCTTGCGGGGGACAGGACCCCTCTGCCCGCGTTCCCTTCTCAGGGTAGGGGCACCAAGACCGGCTTCCCAGGGGACGTTTGCGGTGACACCCGCCATGTGCCCGCTGAGTGGTCAGAAGCCTGAGCTCAAGGCCCGTCTCTCTCGCTCGTTGCCTTCGCGAGCTGCACCCACCCGCACACCAGTCTGAGCCTCAGCTTCTCATCTGGGGGTGGAATCCTGATATCCGCCTCTATGCTGGCCATGCACGTGACCTCCGGGGAATGAGCATGAGGATGGCACCATCCTTGGAAGGCAAAGTTTCGTGTTTTCCTCAGCTGTGGCCTTGGGGCAACCCGGGTTCCACTCCTTTCTCGGAAAAGCTTTGGATGGGAGTGGCGGGATTCTGTTTTGCGCTGGTCCCTCCGTGACTGTTGAGACCCAGGTTTTAAGGAGCACTTCCTGCATTCTCTCCTTCCCTCACTCAGTGGCCCATCGGCGCTTGCCTACTACATGCAGGGCAGGGATGAGAGAATTTCCAGTGATGCTGGTCTGTGGAAGAAAGTGCTGAGGGCCGTGAGCAAGTCCTTCCTTGCATTTTCTTTGTTATTTGGATCAGCTCCAGCTGCCTTCCCTGGGGAGACCGGCTGTCCCTGGAGGCCTGGCCAGGCTGGGCTGGCCAGAGAGACTGTCCTGATGGCGAGCAAGGCAGTGCAGTGGCCCCAGGAGAGCTGGGCCCTGCACACAGTAGGTGCCCGGGGATAGGAAGAAGGGGGTGCTACCTGGAAAATCCCTCAGAGGCTCTTCCTTGGCTGGTGTCCAGCTCTGCCCCACCCCAGCATCCTTCAGATATGGTCAGGTTGCTGAGACGTTGCCTCTCTGTGCAGAGGCCAAGTTCACCGTTTGACCTTGTGTTGGACCAGGGAATTTGAACTATGGCCGTCTCGTTACTGCCTGTCACAGAACGAGCCATCTAGCCGTCCAGGCACGGCTGTCTCCTCTGTGACTTGGGCTGGTCTAAGCTCTGGAAGCCCTGGGACAGTGTCTTCATAGGGTGCACGTCCCCAACAGGGGCGCCTTATTCCGGGGCCACTGGCTCTGACCAGTGGGTCGCAGGGGTGCCCCTTGGGGCGGGGCCGAGCTGGGGGAGCCCTGTGGGTCAAGGGGGTAAGCACAGCCCCCTCATCGAGAGTCCCGCTGGCTGTGCTCCAGGGGAGAAAGGTAGTAAGGAGCAACTTGCACTTACTATCAGTATAAATCCCACAGTGAGGAAAATTGCTTCAATTGCTAAAAATTGCTGGTGGGAAAGTCCATTTATTTTTCATTTTTCTTGTGCACTTGCCCCCCTTACACATGAATCACTGTCGGTATGTAGATTAAATTTCTACCCCCATTATCTTTCCTGTGCCTGGGGCTCTGGTGTCAACTGGGTTTCTGGTTACTGAGAGCCATGGTCTGCTTCTTTGTGGGGAGAGAAGAGTGGTCCTTTCCCTGGGGTTGGGGTGCTCACTCTGCTTCGGAGCCTCCCTCAGCCCTCTTCCCCTCGACGAGATCAGACTTCTTTTTGGAAAACCCTCATTCTTCTCTGGAGCTGTTTTGGCTCCAGCATCTGCAGCAAAGGATGTGGACATTGGACTTTTGGTGTTTTATGGGAGAGGGTTTGCAGGGAGCATGCTGAAGGCATGGTTTCGTTTTTAACACCTGCTTTGTGAACTGGCCTGGAGAGGATCTACAAACTGCAGGCATTTTGAAAACACACTCTAGTAACACATATACACACAGGCTTCCTTCCTCTTTGTCCCTCAAACACACACACGCACCCACTCACAGAGGATAGAACTGGGTGCCTGCCTGCCTTCCTCTTTAACATGGGTGACCTGGTTGGACAGCAGCTGTGGAAGAAGCCCGGTTTCACCTGCATTCTGGGAGGTGTAGAACTTTCTAGAGCAGACAGTATACTCTGTTCTCCATCCTCAGATTTAGCCATCTCCACGTACGTCCTCTGTAAAGCGTGGTTCTTTATTAGCTGATTTATTCATTCAACAAATGCTAACTCTCCATTTCTGGGTCCCGTACCCCTTTGGAAAATCTGATGACGCACACTTCTGAATGACTCGGGGGTAGTTTGCAGAGTCCATCCTGAGCCGTGGGCTGGAGAACACCTGCTCTGGAGGCCTGCTTCTGCGCCCCCCACCCTCCTCGCCACACCAGGTCTGCGGTCCTTCCGAGCCAGAGCCCCAGCCCCTCCCACCGCAACACCCTTCTTAGACCTCGTCTCAGAAGAGCAGTCCCCTGGGCCACACTTCTAGACTTAGAGCCCCCCGACTCCTCTCTCTGCGACACCGTGTGGCTGGGCGGGGAGCTTCCGAAACAGCAGCTGGCCGTGCCTGCTCCAGGCCCCTGGTGCCCCCCAGCAGGTATCATTACTGCATAAGAGACCCATCATTCTGCATTAATCTGGGATTCATCATGATAGCCATGACCATAATTAATTTATTTGGTATTAATGTGGATGAAATATGTACTGTCCTTTCAGGGGAAATCAGGCTGCCTATAAGCATTAGTTAAAAGGACCATTAAAATCAAACCTTCCCCAGATCCATTAGGCGAAGTCTTTCATCCTGAAGAAGATAAAGTTCTGCTGTGTGAAATGTCATGAATAATTAGGTTGATTGCTGTTTTAAACTCTGCCCCTGCCTCTCCAACCCCTCCCGCCTCCCTCCAGAAGCAGGCAAGGCTCACCTGCCATGGAGCACCCCCTTCATCACCCCTGTCTACACTGGCCCCTAATTCCCCTCTGACCTCTACGACCATCCGTGTGGCTCGGTGTCTATGGACGGCATGGGGAAGGGGCTTCAATGACCCCATTAGACTCTATTTTCAGTGGGTCTCCTTCTCCCCACTTCCCACCCTGGGCCCAGGGTGGTGGCAGGCACCTTCCTCCTGCCTCAGTGCTGGTCCAGAAAGATGTAGACCAGGGAGAGGGCCAAAGCAGCGTCTTTGGTCTGCATCTGAGGTCTGCAGACTCCTTGCCCGGAACGGTGCCGGGGTGTGAAAATGCAGATTCCTGGGCTCACCTCAGACCAGCACATCTCAGGGGCTGTGCATGGGAAGGGGATGGAGGCTGGCTTGGAGGGCTTTGGGGTGTGCCGGGCGAAGGGGAGAGGCGGGAGAGAGAAGCCTTTGGGAGAGCCCTGCTCTTGTTGCCAAAGCCAGGTTTCTCCAGAACTGCACTGTGGACACTGGCATGTGGGGTCTCCTGGCTCCTCTCGTGGGAGCACGTGAAGAAGCGTTCGCTGGATGCCCATGAACACACGCAGTTGCCCGGTGGGGCTGGTCCTCGAGGCCTCAGCGGAAAGCTGAAGACCAGGGTGCGGAGGCTGAAGCCGCCTGCTCAGAGGGGCCTCAGGGCGTACTGATCGGGCAGGTGGGAGCCCTGGCGTGTCAGCCTCAGAAGAGGCACTGGAGACTCGCTCTGCTCCAGCCTCTTCATTTGGCGGTTCAAGAGCCCGGGGCACAAAGCGGGGCGGCTAGCCAGAGACCAGGGGGCGGGGGGCCGCAGGCATCGATGCCCATGGACAGCCCGGAGTGGTGGGGTGGGAGAGGGGCTGATATGATGTGACGTGGGGGGACAGACAGCCCCCCCCCCACTATGCTCTAACCCCTTCGTGCTGCCCTGACAGACGCTTCGGCACAAAATGCACGGCCTGCCAGCAGGGCATCCCCCCGACCCAGGTGGTGCGTAAGGCGCAGGACTTCGTCTACCACCTGCACTGCTTCACCTGCATCATCTGCAACCGGCAGCTGGCCACGGGGGACGAGTTCTACCTCATGGAGGACGGGCGGCTGGTGTGCAAGGAGGACTACGAGACGGCCAAGCAGAACGGTAAGCCGAGCCGGCCCTCACGCCGCCTGCTGCGGACCTCTGTCTGGGCCGAGCCCTGCCTCGGAGCCCTTCCCTCGGAGCCCTGCTCACACCCTGCCTGCTCTGAGAAGCGTCCCCAGACGCCTGTGGGACAGTTCACGTCACCCCCCATCCCTGAGCCCGGGCTGGCTTCGCTGCAGCCTCAGTTGGGTGTCGGGTGGTGAGCAGGCCCGGCCCCAACGCTGGTCGGAGGCTGAACAACAGCCGGGACCTTGTGCTCTTCCCACCGGCGGCTCCTCACCTGGGAGGGGGCTGGGAGGGGGCTCTGTCCACCGTGGACCCTGGGGGTTGCTCACCAGTCTTGGGTACTGGGGTGCACACGTACCTTGGTGCCCCCACACCTCAAAGGCTTCCGTCGGGGAGAGCAGGAGTGTGGCCTCCGTCGGCTCATACTTAGCTAACTGCGTTCTGTTTCCCCTGTCAGACTACGGGCTTGTCGAGGGCAGGGCCTCCCCCTTCCTTGTGAGGTGAGGACCCCTTGCGTCTCCCAGAGTCCCTGATGCAGGAGCCAGTCTTCACGCTCCGAGAGACTCCAGTCAGCCCCAGGACTTCCCGCCCACCCTGCCCTACCCCAGCCCCCCAGGCCTGTTGTCCAGGGTCAGCGGTGGAGACCTCTACAAGGCTGATGCTGATGTCAGGCCGCAGGGTTAGCTGCTCTCCCCTCCAGCGCCATGTTCCCGAGCAGCCCAGGGCCTTTCCAGGGCCTCGACCCCCAGGAAGGCCAAGCTCCCTCTCCCTTCCCTGGAGCCCCACCTCTGCTCCTCACTCACAGCTGTGCCCCCAGGCGCTGCGCCCTTCACCCTGGCTCCAGATTTGGCACTTGGCCAAATTCCACCTGGGAATCTCAGATGCACAAACTCACAAAACATCAAGGTCATTTGCCTTTGACTAGAATTTTTATCAACTCAGGGTGTTACTGCAAAAAGCAGCTCTCAACAGCTCTGGGCTTGATGGAAAAAAAAAGCAACAACAATTTCATGCATCTCCTTCTAGATCTTTCCTGGGCGCCTGAGTCAGAGGCTTCCACTCTCTTCTCCCAGAACCCCCACAGCGCTGGCCTTTCGGGATGGACTGGCCTTCAAGTCCCCTTTCTCCTCTTTCCCGGGCCTCAGCAAGCCTGTTCCTGGGCTCTTTGCCTTAATGTATTCATCTATTCGGGTTCCTTAAAACCCCCCCGATGTTGCTGCTTTGGAGTCAGTTATGATGTCCGAGAAGATTAGGGCATCTTGTCGGGGATAAACCATCAAAGCAGATGGACTCAGAGATCCCAAGCTGCCTTTGGAACTCTGAAGCCCTTCCCCAGAGATACCAGGAATGCGTGACCTCCCTCCAGGCCACCGGCTGCTTCTCCTCATCAGAGGCCTTGTTTAGACCCTGAGCATTCATGGCCTGGCATCCACCTCTGCTGGGGATGGTTCACGAGGAGGGGGAGCCTAGCTGGGGAGGCAAGAATGACAGTGAAGCCAACACCTTTATCAAGGATTGTTTGTGCCACACCAGACCTCTGGAGGACACTGGATTTGGCATCAGAGGCTGGTGGACATCTCTGCTCAGTCACTAACTTGGGGGCCCCCTTGGTTGAGCCTTGGCTTCTCAGCTGTGTATGGGGGGGGGGGCGGGTAATAGCACCTGCCACACAGGGCTGTTTCCTGAGGTTTTCATAGGATGGCGCCTGTGGAATGGGATGCTGAATGAGGGTGAGAGCCACGAGGAAGAGGAATGTCAACAGGGGGGTGAGATCTGCTTTAGGTTTTCAAGTAACCGAAGGTTACACAGTATTCCTGATGCCTTGCTACTGCCTCTGGCTGTCCGTGCAGAGGCCACTCCATCCTGTGAAATCCGGGTGACCCTGAGTGCAGCAGGGGACTTGGTCTGCTTTGGGACATTTGGTTCTTTTTATGTTTTAATTCCTCTTTGCTGATCCAAACCCCCTTTCAGGCTCACAGTTCCCTCCCCTTGTGCTACACAAAGGACCTAATATCAGCTATTTGTATCTTCGTGTGAATGATTTTGTTCATTTGTTACATCTTCCTGGATATTTGCATTTTCAATATAATGAGGTTGCATTTTATGCCAGGGACAAGTGCTAGGAGACCCTGCATAATTCAAAACCAACATATTTTAAGACTAATTTTCCCATAGGAATTAATGTAAAAAGTAGGAGGGGGGGATGTATTCTGGAAGCACATAAATCCATAACTGGTGAAGTGTAACTTTGCCTTAATGCTACTTTTTATTTTCTCAGCACTATCTCTAATACCTTGCAGAATGCTCTCTCCTAAATTAACGGCCTAGGATATCATGGTCTTGCTTGGCCTTCTTCATAGCGTTTTATCACATTTAACTTCCGTACCAAAGTTATTGATTTTTGGGTACATTTTTCAGCACGAGCACTGCCACCACTACTTAATGAATACTTGGATGACATTGTTATAGGATATAAAAAAGATTTTAAATTATAATAACAGTGAATGTTAAAATAACAGCATGATAGTCCCCATAATCGCAAGAAGAAAGTCCTGTGCACGTAGACGGCAGTTCTGAACCCATGGGCCGCCAACCCAGGATGACGGGTAGATCCCAGTGGCCCCGGTGAAAACAGTTGCTAAGTCACTAGGCCGGCCTATTTAAAAATTAGACAATTCTTGATGAAGTACATTATTTTGCTGGTTTCATTATTTCAAATTTTAGATCTAAAGACTGTAGAGATGTTTTAAAAGTGCACTACTTCATATTGGCATCAAATGCTGTCCTGTTGTTGTCTCTATAAATAGGGGCAGAAGGGATGGATTACTTATGACAGAATTAAAGAACTTTGGAGGTTTTCCTCCGTCTCCGCCAGAGCAGAAAACAGCCCAAGGAGAGAGGACTGGGGACTTCATCCTCCCTCCGCCGTGTGCATGACTGCCTTGCAGACTCGGGCCGGCGTGCCACCCGACTCAGGGCAGGCGCTGGTGCCCCGGGCTTCAGAGCGGGGAGGGGACTTGCCCACGTCACCCTCTCACTCAGCAAGAAAGTTGAACCCAGGTCTTCCAGCGGCAAGAAACACTTTTCAGAATTGTCGTGAGGATTGTTTGCACATCAAGTTCTCAGATCACACCAGGCACATCGTAGGTGCTTAGCAAATGTTGGCCATTACTGATCCTAAGAGAGGGTTTTCTTGAAAGGAAAGGAAGGTAGGAATGTAGCAGGGACATTTTAGAGGACCCAGGGAAAGGAACACAGAAGGCCCAGAGAGCCAGGGACGCCGTGGCGGTGTGTGGACTCGGGGGTGCCCTGCGGAGAACGGGCAGAGGTCTAGCGTCTAGTGCCAGGAGAGGAGAGGCACCGTCCGCTCTTGGCTGTGTGCTCCCGCATGCGCCCAGGCGCCTCTGTACCAGACTGAACAAACCAGCCTCTGACTACCGGAACGCCAGGCTTATCTGCTCAGAATCCACGGAAGACTGTGGATCGGTCCGTGTGTTGTCCTGAACACTCTTCAGACCAGTGGTTTTCAAAAAATTTTGACTATGACCCCGAGTGAGAAACTCATTTTCAACTCAGCACACATGTATTCATACCGTGAACACTTAAGCAAGTCCTGTGAAACCATACTTGCCCTCATCTATCCCATCCCATCCCACGCACCATATTCCCCCCCAAAGTTTTTGATCCACTCAATTGACAGGACAACCCACTAGTGGGTTCTGACCTGTAATCGGTGGACACTGCTAGATGGCTAGTGAACGTGCTGGTTACCCCTGCTGAGCTCAGCAAGGCCACCGCAAGCGACCTGGGAAACGGGAGGCTCCCGAGGGGAGGAGGGGCAGAGGTGTCGGGGGCAGCCCAGCGCACACGTCCTTCACCCGGGCTCGTTGGCCTCCACAGCCCAGCAGCTGGTTCACAGGCTGTCGGGCCAGAGTGTTCGCCGTTTCCGGGAGGCACGTGGAACTGTGCACCTTCAGTCTGGTGGGAGCCCGTGTGGCTGGGCTGGCAGGGGACGGGGACGGGCGGGGAGCTGAGGGAGGGACCGTTGTCCTCGCTTTTCCGTCACTCGGGAAGGCCTGTGGGGAGGAGTGGGCTCCGTGGGGGTGGTTCCCATTCCTTCCCACGGCTCTGCCCACGGTGGGCAATGAGGAGAGGAGGCAGGGCATGCGCCCCAGCGGCTTTGGGCAGGCAGACCCCAGTAAGGAGGGGTCTTCACTGCAGATGACTCAGAGGCCGGAGCCAAGCGGCCCAGAACCACCATCACAGCGAAGCAGCTGGAGACGTTAAAGAACGCCTACAAGAACTCCCCCAAGCCTGCCCGGCACGTGAGGGAGCAGCTCTCCTCGGAGACCGGCCTGGACATGAGGGTCGTGCAGGTGAGGCCCCAGGCCCCGGGCCTCCTCCGCCGTCGGGGTGGCCTGGGCCGGGGTGCGGCTCTGTGCCCTCTCGCTCTACAGGACGGAGGCTCAGGGAGCGCCGTGGGGAGCTGGGCTCTGGGCGAGACCCGGGGAAGCTTGTGGAAGCGGAGATGGAGGCAGAGATGGAGGCAGAGGGGGCCCATCGTGCTCCGGCCCTGAGCTCGACCGACGCTTCAGGGCCTGTTTCCAGCCACCTGTCCTGGGGACCCCGGGGGCCTTGGGTTTGCGGTGGACACCCCCTGAGCGCGTCCCTTCTGCTTGTGTGGCAGGTCTGGTTTCAGAACCGAAGGGCCAAGGAGAAGCGCCTGAAGAAGGACGCGGGGCGGCATCGCTGGGGGCAGTTCTATAAGAGCGTCAAGCGGAGCCGGGGCGGCGGCAAGCAGGAGAAGGAGAGCTCTGCAGAGGACTGTGGGGTTAGTGACAGTGAGCTGAGCTTCCGAGGTGAGCAGGGCTGGAGGGGCGAGGCCGAGGCCTTAGGAAAGGCCCCTGGGACACAGTAATTCTTGACACGCAGGGGGGATCTTTCTTGAGGCCTTGACAACCGCCTCCCGAAGCCAGGCTCTTCCCGGAGACTTGCAGTGAAGGGTGGGGGGTGGCAGTGGCCCTTTGAGACGGGACAAAGAGTAGGAAACAAGAGAGTTCTGCTGCTGCAATGTGGAAGCTGGGTTCCCCAGGCCCGTGGGCCCCGAGGCCTCCCCTCCTTTCCTGCTGACTGGGGCTCTCTCACCGGCCCATGTAGCTGGGAACAGACAGCTGTGTGTCTCGGCCCCTGCCCTCGGCCCCTCTCCTGCATTCCCCTCCTTTGCAGGGGCCCTGGCCTCCCTCCCAGGATCCCCTGGAGTAACCACTTCCTCCTCTCCTGGTGGTGGGGTGGTCGTGCTCAGGAGGCCCTTTGCCCTGGGAAAGCAATACTGTGAGTGCATGCAGGATGGGGACAGGCCTCACTTCTGAAATCCCCTCTCCTACTGCTCACTTCATCCTGTCCCCTGCACAGAAGCTTTGCAGCATGCGCTACATTCGAATCTGTGCACCAGCAAAATGGCGAACCACTGCATGTTTGGGATCCCGAGGTTGTTTGCAAATAGCCATAACTATTCTCAGTTACTGAGTCCTCAGCTATGGAAGGTCCTCTGTTGTGGGTGGATAGAAAGAGTAGTGAGTGGGTGGGTGGGGGGCCTCAGAAATCTGGTTGCCGGTTGGGGCTCTCTCAGATCGATTCACTTTTCTTGAGCCTCAGTTTCCACATCTGTAAATGGGGAATAGCTACATCCTCGCCCATCTCAGTGTTGTTGTGGGGTTCGATGAACACAACTGACTGTGGATGTGTTTGGGTGAAATTCAGCACAGTTTTACACTTGGAAGTCATGACTGTCCCCACAGGGAGCGTGCCCCCCCTCCCCGCCCCCCTCCGCCCACAGAGGGTCGTATGGAATGACAGGTGTCGGCGAAAGGCCAAATAATGGCCATTTTCCAGTGGAGCTGAGCCTTCATCATTCTGCCTCCTTTAAAGAGCATGAGATCTCCTTCCCCCTTTTCATTTTCAGGGTGGAGTGGTGGGGGGCAGGCTTAGGGCAGGTTGTCAGAAGGAATGGGTGTTGAAGTCTAGTCTGGGGAGGCTTGATGGGAGCTGATGCACAGGCCAGGGTGGGAATAGAGAAGGAAGTTCGTGGGGCAGAGGATGGAACCTGCTGCCAGCCAGAGCATGATGCCCTCAGAGGACTGTCGCTCACTTGGGAGATCTGTCCTGTGGGGCCTGGGAAGGGTTCAAGAGCCTATGCTCACCTTCCAGTCCTGTTGGTGGAGTTAGGAAAGCCACTTAATCTGATCTGAGCTGCCAAAATCAACACCTGGAACATGCAGGATCATTACATCTTGCTTTGTAGCTCTTTTCTGTTGGGTGCAGGTGGGACCCCAGGTTGACACGTCATGGGTCTCTCTGGGTAATTACAGAACTCTTTATTTCTTAAGACTAAAACCACTCGCCTCTGTTGGAGAGATGAATTCTTCTGGGTAGCACAGGATGCATTAGAAACCCTTAATGAAATTCTTCAAGAAACAAGAAGGTCCATTTGCCTTAATCAAGTCAATACTTTGTCCCCAGCGAAGAGCTTATTTGATAGAGAAACTGAGTCCTTTGACATTGAACCACTTTTCCAGGTAGACCAGAAGGATTTTGTATACATGCCTAAGAGTGGCCCTCAGCTACCCTTACCACATGGGCCTGCTTCTTTCCCAACCAACGGAAACCAAGCACTTTTCTCAGCCTGAAAGCTTTCAGATTAAATCTTGTCAGCACGTAGTTTCCGTTTGTGAGGCTGATAATGTATGACCCACAAACCTCAGGCATTCATATTCTTTAGTGTAGCCATCTTAGTCCGTGAGCCACATGGGACCAACAAACTCAGCAGACATTTGTCCAGCCTTCTGGGATCTGCCTTCAGGCTCTGCAGGTGTTTCTTCTGTGTTTCCCCTCAATTCGGGTCAGTCTCTGGCTGCCAGGTTGAGTGTTGGCGTCTGACTCATGCATGGCAGTGAGGCGTCTGCCATCCTTGGGTGTCTTTCTCGGTCATGGGTATTCCTAGGTTGTGAAGAACAGGGACCACTGGAGTCCTGGCCGCTGACAATAAATCTCCGTTCTTTTGTCCACAGAGGATCAAATTCTCTCAGAACTTGGCCACACCAATAGGATTTATGGCAACGTGGGGGACGTTTCAGGCGGACAGTTAATGAATGGGAGCTTCTCCATGGACGGGACAGGACAATCCTATCAGGACTTGAGGGATGGGAGCCCCTATGGAATCCCCCAGTCTCCCTCCTCCATATCGTCCCTGCCATCCCACGCTCCTTTGCTCAATGGGCTGGATTACACGGTGGACAGTAATTTGGGCATCATTGGGCATGCAGGGCAGGGAGTGAGCCAGACGCTGAGAGCCATGGCTGGGGGACCCACCTCTGACATCTCCACAGGAAGCAGTGTAGGCTATCCTGACTTCCCAACGAGCCCAGCCTCTTGGCTCGATGAAATGGATCATCCTCCTTTTTAAACATCTCTCCTCCCCACCCTACCCGTCCTGGCTTGAGAGAATATCTTCAAGGATCAAAAGAGACTTGCCTTTTAAGGATCAAAAGTGCACCAGTGTGAATTTCCATTATTTTCAATGGAAGTCCTCTGCTGAACCCTAGGCGGGTGAGAGACCAGACCACACTAGGGCCCTGTTACCCTGGGGAAGTAGCGGGAAGGCAGCCTCCTCTCAGGACACAGCACAGGGGTGCAGAGCCTAGAGCGCTAGGGTGCTGCTTGGCGGCTTCCTACCCCCGCCCTGCTTCCAGGCTTTGGCTGCTCGGTGCTTGGCAGCACGAGGTGACCGTCAGGCCACCTTGGCCTTTGGGAACTCTGCTCCGACTGGTGTGTCTCCTGAGATGCCTCCCGAACCACTTCTCTCCACCAGAACTGAGATTCCTGAGGTAGAGGCATCCTGGCCCTTGAGTATAATAAAAGTGATTTCTGGACCACTCTATTGAACTCTAATTTTGAAAATAAAAAGTCACTTATTAAATGTCAGTGAAAACTTTGATGGCCACCGTTTGATATTGAAAACGTCCCCTTCTCCTCCTCCTTCTTCTTCCCTTTTTTTTTTTTTTGCTGTGAAAAATATGACTTCTTCCCTGCCCAGAAGTACAAGCCAGATAATATTTGTCAGTTTTGGTTTTAAAGAGATCCCATCCCTATCACTGAATCCCTGACGGCAAGAAGTGGTTTTCCTTGCAGGTGACTCAGGCTGGAGCTGAGTGGCCCTGGACCATCACAGCGACTGCCCGACGAGTCCCCTCGGTGCACACTGTGCCTTTTTAATTTGCTCGTATCATTTATTCCACAAGACAGGCTGTGGGTTACAAAGTGATCCAAGCTAAAATACGGAGAGAACAGAAGGACAATCAGCGCAGACGCGCAGGCGCATGTGGATTCTAAGCGTGCGGTCCGCTTAGCCGTGTCAGCAGACGTGCTCCCAGAGCTCCCCATCCCGCAGGCTGAAACGGCATTGAGTCTGCTTTGCAGGAGTGGGTGTAGATGAGTTTGCGAGCCCATCCCACCGGCAGCCCGCCCGCCCCAGACCTTGCAAAAGGAGAGCTTTCTCTGTGGTAGCTGACTCACTTGGACAGTTTTGGTATCTTCCAAGAGCCAGCAATGCTTTTTGGCCCAGCTTGGTTGGGAGGAATCACTCGGGAGCAGCCCTAAGATCGCCCAGAGGGTTCCAAGTGGTTCTTGGGCTGCGTCTCTCTGGGCTGCTGGCTGGACTCGGGCCAGGCCCCGAGGTGCCCCAGGCCTGCGCTCAGGAAGGCCGAGCTCGCCAGCCAGGGGCAGTGAGGGCTCTCAGCGCGCGGGTGTGCTCTGGCCCCTCACCCAGCCTGAGGCCCGAGGCAAGGGCAGGGCCGACCCCTGCTCTACGAGCTGCCCCCACCAAGCGCCCCTCGGTCTGCGGACCCCCCACGGGGGGACACGCCAGGGTGAGTGAGTGAGTGAGTGGTGCCGCAGGTCCTACTTTATGCACCGCACCTCTGTCCGTCAGGAAGCTCTCCAGCGCACACTGCGTGCGGGTTAGCGAAGTGGGCGTCCGTCCAGTCCCCTTGGGAAACGGTGGCCGGCTTCTCCCGGCTTCCATTTTCTTAGACAAGAGAGTAGGAAAGGGTGAGAAGGCAGTGTCTTTCTTTCACATGAAGTGACAGGGCCAGAGACCTTAGGGACCCTTCCTTCTGTGAATGTTTCGCCACCTTTTGAGGACCACGGGATTCAGGTGCGCGGTGGGCAGGCTAAAGGAAGACATAAAACACCTCCACTTTGGCTGCTGCATCCACCGCAGACTCCTTTCCAGGACTAAACGGAGGTCAGTCAAGCTTCTTTAAAATATGCAGTCAGTGAATTCCTGGGCTCAGCCTTCCAGCCCCGTTTGCTCTGCTCAATTTGGACTGTCCCCTTATTGTCTGGTGTGTTGCATCTACTGTGATTTTTGCTTGGAGAGTCTACAAACGTAGGCTTCTTCAGGCTCCAGGGGTGGGGTGGGGGTGTGTCCCGCCTAGGCAGGTTGCTCCTGGGAATTCCCCAACAGTGGGGACACCGGGAGTGGGGGCGGGGACACACATGCAAGACGAGAAGCCATAGGAAGGAAAGGAAGACCCATCTGTCCTTTTGGAGGACAGCTTCTTTCACACACTAGTCTCCGCAGGCTGCTCCCAGGATGCAGGAGAAAGACGGTGTCGGGCTGGGGACCAGTGACAAACTGTCCCACGCAGACCACTATCTCGGCTTGACTGTGGCCTAGTGACTCACGAGACCTCAGCGGCACCTCACATCTCTGGTGCGTACAGTGCAGGGAGGGTGGACTCCCCAGAGAGACAGGCCCCCTCTCTGTGTGGCACTGGTTTCTTAAGATCAACTGAAGTTGACCTGTTTTTGGTTTTGTATGTGACATCTTCGTGCTCACTCCCGATTCAGGGGTGGGAGACGGGGAAGCTGTCCTCACTTCCGCTAATAACACAAGTCTCCTGCGGCCCTCAGTGAGCGGCGCAGTCGATGGGGGGGAGCAGCCTCTTGGGTTTTGGTGGGGGCGGCTGGCTTGAAGAGCCCTTGTGAGAGCGCTGGCCAGAAAGCCAGGGGAGCCTGAACAAAGTTCCCGACAGCCACCTCCCCAGGAAGCAGCAAACGCTGGTGCCTCATTTAGAAGTACAGCCCCCTGAGGCCTCAGATTTGAAGTGGGTGTCCTTGCACGTGAGGTTAGCGTATGGACGGGCCAGGGCCACCGGGGAGCCACCGCATGCCAAGACGATTCCCTGGCTCTTCTGTGGCTCAGAGAGGGAGAAGAACAGAACATCCCCTTGAGGTTTTCTTAAAGGCACTCCTCTAGTGCTCATTATGGTGATACTCTAATGTTATAGTAATAGCCTATTCCTGAGCTATAAGGTGCTACATGGGAGCGGTTTCCTCCTTACTAAATCGATATGGATGAATTTTTTTAAATGAGGCGAGAACTTCTAGGGGCATTTACAATATTTGGATCTGTCTTTGGCTCTAAGAAGGCAAAGAACTAGCAGGCATTATCTGCAGCGCCTGGCTGGTAGACCTGAGGGTAGGAGGCTTCGGAATCCAGGAGCAAATTAAAGACAGAAAGAAAAACAAATCCCCCCAGCCCCCCAGGTTTCCAGGGGTAATTGGTATGAGCAAAAATGGGACCTGAGCGGCTATGGAAGAATCTACATTTGCCGAGACGTGAGAAAAGCATAGACGAAACACCAAATCCAAGGGCTAAGCCGGCCCTCTGGGTAAATCACATGCTGGGGAGCCTGGCTCCTTGCAGGGACTTGTGTGCAACTCGAGGCCAACTCCTCTCCATCGTGCTTTCTCTTTCCTGCCCCATCTGGGAGTTATGACTATAATATAAGTACCCACAACATTACTCCAGTGAACGAGTACAGTGAAACATCAGGGAAAGAGAACAAGACCGAAGGCAAGCCTTTTGGAGTGTCTTTAAAACTCGGTCTTTTTGTTTTTGGTTTTTTTGCCAGCATAAAACACGAAATCTAGTAAGATCACTGGGGCCATTAGACCTTCATAATGAAGCTCCCGTTGCAAAAAGTCTAAGAAGGCCGTAGAACAAAAGGCACTGATGCCTCTGAGGCTTGAGCTGGTTATTGGGAGACACCTGCCTCCTCGCAGAGAGGGCTCTCGGGCCTCCGCTGAGCAGACGCGCCCTCTGCCGGCGCGCACCCGGCCCCCACGCTCCCATGTGACCCCCCCCAGCTTCCCGCCCCCCACCCCCGACTGACAACTCGGTTATAACCTCCGAAATAATGACCAGACCTCCCCAGCCAGCAGGGGCTGGAAGGCCTGAGGAGGCTCATTTTTAAACACTGCACTTTAAAAATTGGAAACCGTGAGATGAAGAAAAATTCAATTAAGCGGAAATGAGTTTTGTTTTATTGGCTGCTGCTGACGGGCTCTGGGCATGCTGAAAGCTAAATAAAAAAGCACATCACTGGCTCTCTCTTTCTTGGACTTGGTCAGTTGGCCCTTTCTGCAGCAGCTGCTCTAACCGAGCTCACATGGTGACTGGAGCCAAAAAGAGAGAGCACGGCAAAGCCATCCCACCCACACACCGCTTGGTAGGGCCCCACGGAAAGCACAGTTTCTCGCTGCTAGCTCTGGTGAGGAGGCGGCTGCAGGTTTGGGAGGGGTGCCAAGCATTCCTTTCCTTGGGGAGGCAGAGCACAGGCGGACAGAGAAGGACACCCCCGCTCTGGTCTGCTGCCCACCTAGAGGCAAGAATCATTTGTACCTCTCTACATGCGTTCAGGGCTGCAGGCTCCCAGAAGCTGCTCTGAACTTGCGTTCAGACCTCAAAGCCCCAGGTCCCCTAGGCTCTGGACGGTTGCCCTCACTCTTGGCAGTGTAAATTTTGTACAGTTAAAAAGAAATGAAGTCTCACTTCCTGGGGGAAAAAGAAAAAAAGAAAAAAAAGAAGGAAAAAAAAAAGAACCCACCCATCCTTATTTATTGCCATGTGACTTTGGAACACAGAAGCTGGTGCGTTTGTTTGTATATGGTTCCTGTGTGTTGGCATGAGATGTGTATGGTAAAATTATGTCAAATAAATACGGAAATTCTTTAGAAGCGGATGTGTCTTGCTTTTCATTTTGGTTCTCTGGATGTTTCTTTCTCTTGATATAATTAGGACAAAAAGCTAAGGCGATGTGGGGTCCTTTTACCACCGGAAGGAAACCCAAACTACAACTCTGAATGCCAGAATGACTTACAGCCATGAATACCAGAAGTGCTCAATAAAGGTTCGATTAGAGGAAGTGCTCTGGTTTTTCTGACAGCAATTTTCTGGGGCCCAATCCTCTGCTCCTAGGCTCAGGGGATGGGCAGAGAAAACCCACTGACCACATAATCTTAATGTTTGTCCTGTTGCATTTTAAAAGTCCTTCCCACTTAAACATTTTCTCCCTAAAGTATGTGCAAACATCTATATTTGGGCGAGAGGTGGACAGAGGGATACAAACACCTCATCAGAATTATCAGGGCTCCTTGATGAGCTTTTGTAGAAAAGTCCTCATTCAGATTTCTTCTCTGCAAGAGGCTTTATTAATGTGCAGGATCTGAAGGTTAGCTGGAATGGAAAAAGCAACACTGCTTCTTTCATCAAAAAATATTAAAGTCCAGGGGCGCCTGGGTGGCTCAATGGGTTAAGCGTCTGCCTTCAGCTCAGGTCACGATCCCAGGGTCCCGGAATCGAGCCCCGCATCGAGCATCCTGCTCTGCGGGGAGTCTGCTTCTCCCTCTCCTTCCTGCTCATGCTCTCTCTCACTATTTCTGTCTCTCTCAAATAAATAAGTAAAATATTTTTTAAAAAGATTTAAAAGAATACTGAAGTCCTCCTATCTCTTTAGAGCTGGCCTTCCATCTAGGAAAAACTAGAGTGCTTTTTCCATTAGTGACTGGTTGTATTTGAAGAGAAGATCCAGAGGTGCACTGTCCCATATGGCAGCAACTAGTCACACGTGGCTGTTTACATTTAAATTGACTAATATTCAATAAAACTGCAAGTTTCCTTCCTCATGCCGGCTCTGTTTCAAGTGCTCGGTAGCTACACATGGCTAGCAGCGACTGTATTTGGACACACGGACACAGAGCACTTCAGTCGCTGCAGAGAGTTCCACTGGACAGTGCTGATGGAGTCTGCCAAGGGAGAATGGGCAGAGAAAACTCACTCATCACGCTAGCTGCTCGCTATCCTGGAGCACTTGGTGAAATATCTTGAGACTCCTTAGACAGTGTAGCGCTGGCTTCTCGGTCATCCTAGTTTGGGAGGAGCACTGCCCACAAGAACAACTCGCTTGGGTACAAGGGAGGGGGGCTGCACTCTGGACCCCTGAGTCCACAGTCCAGTGCTGCCACCAGCTTGTCCTGACTCTACCTAACCCCTGGGCGCGTGCCGTGCCCCACGGTCTATGCCGTTACATGGGAAAGACACCACCACCCAGGCAGACATCCAGCGAGATTCTTGGGGGGCTTGAAGGTCTTTTAGTGAAGACCCGAATCTCTGCTCTCAGGAGAGGGAATTCTGGTAAATACTTGGTTAGGCCGAGAAAGGCGGCCAGGACAGGTGAAGATGAGAGCACCACGTGGGAGTGGGAGTGTTGGTGGAGGAAGGCAGCAGGTTCTGGACATGAGGACCTGCTTCCTTCCCT